AGGCAGCTACGTGTGGGTTCAATCCCATCTTCCTGTGACAGTTTTGGTCAAAATAGAAAAAATGGCTGGACGGTGTAGCGGGGGGCGCAGCCGTAGGCCACAAATTTTAGTCTCAAATAAGCCTTGGAGCCAACGCCCAGCCTCACCATGCATTAACTTTACTCAGCCTCAGACCTAGAAGCCGAAGACTACGCTTTAACTCCGTAATGCAGACAAGCGACACACTGCCGAAAGGTAATAGCGCCGTAGGTCATCAGTCGATGGTTAGGCATGCTCGCTCATAACATAACATAGTGATCTCGGCGCGGAAGTGTAGGCCTGATATGGCCTGTCGCCGATTCTTTTCTTTTTCGTGCCTTGCAGCAGGCAGTTCCCCATCCGGCTGTACCTACTCCGGCCAAACCTCTTCTGGCCTAACCTATTCACCATGTCCCGGCTCACAACCTTCTTGCAGCCAATGACTGGCTCTACCAGCACACATGGGCCGCCTTTCTAACTTCTTGCAGCCAATGAGGTTAGGTTAGGTCCGCTCAGGTTTGTTTTGGGTGGAGAAAGGTTGCAGCTGGTACCGTTATGCACCCTGGCGATCCTACCTATGTAAAGGAATATGAACTAAGTGTGAAGTTTGGCAAAGCTGGCCTCCGGCATGCGCCCCGTGTAGCGGATAGTAGAACAGCGAATTGCGTGTTCGAAGCCCGCAACATCATTCGAAAAGTTCTGTGATGTTCAGGACCAGCTACAGGCTTAATAGCGTAATCTTATAGGCTGGCACAACTATTATTTACTATTATTATTTTAACTGAAATCCTAAAGGGTGAATTTCCCTTACACACTGCTCACGAGCTAATAATAGTGTCACATTCAACGACACAAACTATTCACCATTAATCAAGGTATTAAGGAAGTCTATGAATAACACATTTTGTGCTATTTAGAAAGGAATGAGATGGTTGAAATAACTCAGCAGACCAAAAGACAATTTTGGTCAAAAGACAATATTAAGGAAAATTAATATCTATAAATGTACGTTGCAAAGCGGGAGCAATGAAAAAATGCTTTACACAGAACGGAATTCTTAAAAATATACAGTATCTGAAGTTAAAATTAAATTTGTATTTGAATTGCATGAATTTATACAAATTTATTAAGTTTATCGAATAAATGTTGCTCAGCTTTTCACTCCAATACCTACATAAGTGAAATTAATGTAACTTTATCTTATTTTAATCTTTAACGGTGGATAAACCGAAAGTGAACGCTGCTAGAAGTAATGCAACTGAAACATATTTTTTTATATGCTACATCCCAGTCGTCAACACTAAATAAACCGAAAATAGAATTATACACAGTATACAATGATCCTAACACTATTGTACATTTCCGCAAGTACAATAATAATCACATAACAGTGCATTGAACCTAACCTCTACGCAAGACCAAATCGGTCGACGAGATCTCGTCTGACGTAGACCACGTCACTGGGTTTGCCTGAAAGGTCGGGGACTTCTTCGTGGACCACGTACCCTACCGCCTCCATGTGGGCGTTGACGGCCGCCTTCCCTTCCTTCACGTGCTTGTACTCCACTGAGATCACCTGTGGAATGATGGTTGGTTATCGTCTAAGGAAGACATTAGGAATGTCGAATTCGTTTCTTAATTTACTACCAACTGCTGAGCGGAGACTTGATTATTTTTTTATCTTCTCGTTATTTGAAGTTGTATTTCTTGTCATTACATACGGACATGTAGGAAGAGTGCAAACCTCATGTCTGTCATTAAATGCAACTCCATCACCTTTGGAGAAAGATTAGTAAGTTGTAAGAGGTATTTAACCCTCAAGCAAAACGAGCTATTAGCTTGGAGTAAGAAAGAACTCGTATATGTTACTTCATGAGACATATGATCATAAGGATGTTACAGCAATACAGCTCGATTCACGTACAAATTTTGTTGTCTTCAAAACGTTATTACGGCGAAAATTATAACGTTCAAGCACAAAAAATGTTAGTAACTATGTTAAGAAAAATAAGTTGGTATGATAACACGTGCAATAATGTTTGGGAGTTGACTTTATAGAATCTTGAATTTCTCAAAATCTTATCGATATCGCAATCAGCGATGACTCAATTTCTGCTTCAATTCCGGATCCGCACCATCTCCTCACCTTGATATCCACTTGGTGCCACGGGATCGTCTTGAGCACATTGAGTTCCTGTCCCTCAACATCGAGGCTGAAGTAGTCGATGGCGGTGATGTTGGTGGCCAGTAAGAAGGTGTAGAAGGGGAAGCACTGCACTATTTTGTAGCTCACGTCTCCGGTTCCAAAAATCTCAAGATCGTAACTTATGTTCTTAACATCCAGAGTCTCGCTCAGAAAGTGTTCTTGACGCAGTATGAACTGGGGAAGAAAATAAGATTTTAAAAATTCAGTTGAATACGCACTATTATGGCTGTTTTAATTAAATGGGAATGTTTATGCAAAAGGTATTCGTATTTGCTGGTCCGCCCAGATTCGACCCTATCATTTTATGAGTAATCAAGAAGGTTAAGGATAAAAAAATAACCAAAGAACTTGGACATCCCCAATTTCAAGAGACAAGCNAATACTTTCCCCAAATTCATTTTTAACCGTGCATTGTTGTCGGTTAGTATATTTTAATGGTTCTTTGTGCTACGAGGGCTCCTTTCAATAAGCAGAATACAGTAAAATAGAATTTTCTGCCACATGAATCTTGGAAACTTTAATTTTAATTTTGAGACCGAGTTAACAAATAGCCTTGCGAGTGCTAGTGTGTTTTACATACTTGAAATAAAGCTTGGAACTAATTTTATGTTGAAGCATTGCACATAAATTTCATTACTGTGTGAAATAGTCTCATTGACAACTGTTTAGTATTTAATCGTGATTACAATTCCCGTTCAAGAATTTCTGTAGAATGAATTTCATTTCTAAGTTTAGAGACGATATCGACGAATTTTTTAAATTATACCTTCAAATGGTTGGTCCGGCTGTAGAGGACGTCAGATGAAACCGTACTAATGAAGTGAAAAATGAGTGGCGGTGTAACCTTCTCTCAACCGGGAGCGCAGCCGTGCACCACCAATTTTGTGCACCAATAAGCCCTGAATCGAACGCCTATTGGATCTCTCAGGACATCCACCATCAGCCGTGAACCACTCGGCTTTGTCTTCCTCCGGCCTCGCATAGAACCTGCCGTGCACCACCAGGCCGCGGATCGAATCTGACTTACGGGCATCGTTAAATTACGCAATTTTACGTTCACCGCATCTGGAGTTAGGTTTCAGATAGCATAGTTCTGTTCCAAAATTTCTCGTCCTTCGACAAGTGGCCGTTCGACCGAGAGCTGGTTCGACCCACGGCCTAGATACGGACGGCTTGAAGTGTTGGCAGGCAGGAATCATGATGGTCCATTATACATCCAGGGCAGTGGTGGTCTTCGGCAGGCGACCCCTCTCAACCCTTTCGTTCTTTGTTTTAGAATATCCTTTAGTTAACGGCTAAGATCCTATAGGCACCGTCTGTGTGATACTTTTTCTGGCAACAAATTAAATTTTGACCTTTAAATTAGTCAGCACATTTACTTACTTTCTGTTTGAACAACTTGTCGACAACTTTAGACTGGCCGTCCGAGGGATCCATCTTTCACAGCAAAGGTAGTTCACAGCAAAGGTAGTTCACAGCAAAGGTAGTTCACAGCAAAGGTGGTTCATAGCAGAGGTCTGGTAACCTTGGGTTGAGACTGGACTGGTACAGGTACTGGAGTTCAGAAGTACCGTCGAGGTCGGCCTAACTAGGAGCCGCATTTGCTGGCCGGGCAAAGAGTCGGTCCTGCCGAACAATGATGGTCAGCAAGACTATAACTAACAATACTATACTAAGGAACTATTTCATTCAACTCAACACACATATATACATTCAGGGAATTTAAACACTATAATCAAACTCGAACATTAAACTGAAGCAAATGCACTAACACCCACCTAATAGGGACGCTACAGGTGCACTCGAAAATAGTGACAGTAGGTACGCTCCGACCAGTGACAGCAATCGATTGAGACTAACTAACAGTCTAACACGGGCTTCAGGCCGGTAACGCCACGTCATCAGATAGCACGGTTGCCAACCCTACAAGCAGCCGTAAAACTTACGACACAAAATAAATTTAAGTAACTGAAATCATACAGGGTGAATTTCCCTTACAATACTCCCCCCAAAAGATTCTATTACAATAGAAATCACAAGTGGAAATTCATCTTATTCCAACAGCTTAACCTAGCAATTTATTGGCACCTACTGAGCAGATCTGCTCCTACATTTCTGTTACCAGCGATATGCAGGATCTGAAATCGGTAGGATTGCAGACTCAAGGCCCAACGCATTAGGCGAGCGTTATTACCTTTAAATTTGTTAAGATAAATCAAAGGCTTGTGGTCTAGCTACCTCCAAAATGAATTCCTGGCCCACCAGATAGTACTTGTATCTATCTATGCCATAAATTATGGCAAGGCACTCTCGCTCTATGGTGGAATATCTTTTCTCGGCACTCAATAATTTCCGACTAGCATAAGCCACGGGATGAGGCACATCATCATAGTACTGGAGCAGTACTGCGCCAACACCTTCGCTGGAGGCATCAGTTCGTAGAACAAATTTACGGTTAACATCAGGTAATTTCAAGATTGGATCTTTGGACAGAATAGTTTTCAGTTTCGTGAAATTAACCAGCAACTCTGGCGTCCAACAGATGGGTTCACGCACGTCTTTCTTCAGTTGATCTGACATCGGCGCGGTGAGTGAGGAGGCATTTGGAATAAATTTTCGATAAAATGAAATTACCCCCAAAAATGAGCGAAGCAACTTCTTCGTGCAGGGGGGATCCATTTCCATTATGGCCTTCACCTTATCTTCCTGTGGTTTGATTGTACCTTGGCCGATCTTAAAACCGAGGTAATTGATTTAGGCGAATCCAAATTTGCACTTAGATGGTCGTGCTGTAAGGCCATGTTGACGTAGTCTAATGAAAACATTGCGCAGCGCACGTACGTGCCTTTCCCAGGTGTCGGCGTACACATAGATATTATCAAAGTAGAAGGATACATTTTCTAGATCTTGCAATACTATCCTCATTAACCGTGCATATCTAGAACACGCGTTTACCAAGCCAAACGGAAGGCGCACGAATTCCATCAACCCACGCCGCGTTGGGAAAGCGGTTAGGTGTCGCGACCTTTCCGTGAGCGGGATCTGGTAGTAGGCTCGTGCCAAGTCGAGTTCGGAAAAGTACTTAGCACCGGCAAACAGATGCAGGTCTTCTTCCACAAGACATGGCGGTTCGGCTTGGAAGACGGTAATGCTGTTCAGCATTCTGTAATCTATCGTCATTCTGTAACTTTGATCAGGTTTATGAACCATAACAATGGGTGAACAATAAGATGAAGTAGATGGCTGGATTATCTTCAGCTTGAGCAAGTTGTCCACCTTCTTATCGAAGTGCGACTTCAAATGGATAGGGACAGGATAGAATCTAGCCCGTGTGGGAGTTGAGGTTTTCAGCTCTATGTCATATGATAGAGTTCCGCTACAACCAGGCACAGGAGACATGACATCGTCGTATTCTTCGATCAACGTAGCGACGTCACGCGTCTGCTCTGGAGAAAGATCTTCGCAGATAGTAGCACGCTCCTCCGAATTTACGTCGAGCGTTACGAGAGCATCCTGGTTAAGCGCTTCACCACCATCTGCCATTTCCTCCTCGATGTGGCAGGCTTGACAAACGAAGAAGGGATCAGATTGGAAAGAAGCTTGGGTCCCCGTCTCGTCCACGACGTTAGCAACGACAGCATCAGCCCGACGATAATATCTCTTCAGGAGATTGGCATGATATTGTCGAAGCGACCCGTCTTGGTCGATGACGTAGTTGACCCTACTCTTCCTCTCTACGACTTTAAATGGTCCTTTCCATGACATCAGAAGTTTGTTACTGGAGTCAGGAAGGAGAACAAGCACTTCGTTTCCCACCGCAAATTGGAGATCTTGAGATTTGAGGTCAAAGTAAGTTTTATATTTGCTTACGCTTATGTCGGCGTTTTCTGCAGCAAGTTTGGAGCACTCTTGTAGCTTCTCTTGCAACTCAATAACGTATTGGAAGAGGGTTCTCTCTTCGGCCTTTAGGTTTCTATCTTCCCACAGGTCACGAAGAACAGCCAAAGGGCCTCTACCCTGTCGCCCATACAGGAGCTCAAACGCAGAGAAGCCGGAGCGGTCGCTTGGTATCTCCCGCAAAGCAAATAGGGTCGGAACCAGATATCGATCCCAGTCGCGTGGCTTGTCGGAACAAAGTTTCCGTAAGCAAGCTTTCATAGTTGAATGTAATCTTTCAGCTCTTCCGTTTCCCATTGCATGGTACGGGGTTGTGAACAATGGCTTGACCCCCAACAGTCTATGTAATTCGCCCATCAACTGGGACGTGAACTGGGTACCTCGATCGGATAGAATTTCTCTCGGAATTCCCACCCTAGAAAATATCAATAGAAGCGCTTCGGCAACAGAAATAGAATCAGTTTCTTTCAGTGGGACGGCTTCAGGGAAGCCAGTGGTGTAATCAATTAAGGTTAGGATGTACCTGAACCCACTAGACGATCGCGGCGTTAGGGGACCTACTATGTCTATGGCAACTTTACTAAATGGCTCAGTAACAACAGGCATGGGCTCCAAAGGCACTTTCCTTACTCTACCTTTCGGGGAGAAGCGTTGGCAGACGTCACAACTCTGACAAAACAACTTGATATCACTAGTGACAGAAGGCCAAAAGAAATGCTCTCGAAGACGCAAGCTAGTTTTCCGGTGACCAAAGTAACCGGCAAGGGGAGACTCGTGGGAGGTAGTGAGAACAGCTTTCCTACATTCTAACGGCACGACAAGAGCACATTTATCAATCAAATTTTTAGATGGGGCAGCGAAACATTTGCGATAAATCAAACCCCGGTCAATAACGAACCCGAACACCGACCCATCTTTCATTGTAACCTTGGTACCAGTTTCAGCCAGAGATCTAATGTTACTCAAGCTCGGACAAGACTGTTGCAATTTACGGAACTCGTTACAATCGACATTAATTGGATCTATCTTTGGTAAAAGAAGAGGATGCAACGATTTAGCATTAGCTGAAGATCGTGTTGTAACAGCCTGAACAGATGACAAATCTGGCGTAGATGAACTAGGCTCGGTGAACGGCCTCGCTAATGGCTCGTCTGGAAAATTGTCATCCATGACTCCCGGAACATTACCTATTAGTACAGAACAGAATTTAATCGGAGCAAGGATTGCATCTGCCCAGCCACAAAAATACTTACATCTAATGTAACACCTAACTACAGGAAACGAGTTAGATCGACCTAAGTAATCAAGTAATTCAACGGTTGCCCATTTTGAAACATGAATATCTGGAAGGAGGGCATCAGACACAATAATGGCAGAGCAAGCAGTATCCCGCCAAATGCTCGACACTGGCAATCCATTGACAGTTCCACAGCACTGATATTTGCTTGGAGTCGGATCGGTTAAACAAAATTGAACAGAGTGTGACGTCGGGCTGGGCTTGGGGAAAAGTAATGGATTCTTGGGACAGTTTCGCTTCACATGACCCGAATCACCACAAGAAAAACAGCCCTTGGACATCTCTTGTCTATTGTCCAAGTTGCGGGTAGGTTTTTGAATGGCAGTCGCACGAGACGGAGAGTTTCCCTTGACGTCAGGCTGGTACTTAGGCATATGGCTATCCTTAGGGTAAGCTTTGTGGGCTGCGGACCAGTTATCGGCTAGGGTCACAATTTCACTGAGTTGTTTACAGTCTTTTTCCTTGATGAACAATCGCAGAGGCGGGGGGAGAGAACTTAGAAACTGATCGATAATGAAAAACTCGCGCACACTTGCGTAATCTTTAGGAACATCACGCGATTCCAGCCAGTAATCTAATTTACGGCCTAATTGAGTGGCAAACTGAAGGTAAGTCTCATTCCAGCCAATGCGCGCAGCACGGAACTCCTCACGGTAAGTTTCATGGGTTTTATTGAAACCACTGAGTAAGGCTTTCTTCAGGGAGTCATAATCGCCGGTAACATCTGGGGACAAGGCAGCATAAATCTGAACCGCTTTGCCAGTTAACAATGTTCCCAACCGCACAGCGTAACTACTACGATTCAGCTGCAGGAGCTCAGCAATGCGCTCGAAACGTATTATGTAGGACGTTATGTCTTCACCGTCGCGATACATGGGCAGTTTAGGTTTGGCAGCGGCATCGGATAGTTGAACTTCGGAATCGCGAGGGCTCCTCAATTCCAACATCCTAATCTCGTGATCGCGACGCTCACGTTCTAGCTCCGCAGCTAATTGTTCCCGCTCTTTCTCGCGTTCAGCAGCCAACTGTTCCCGCTCTCTCACAGCAAGTAGTTCAGCATTGTGTGCAGCCCTCTCTGCGGCACGCTCGTCGCGATAGAAAGATTGCTGCTTATAAATAAATTCCGTTAGGGCCTCGCCCTCCAAACCCAACTGTACAGCTTCAGCGCGCAGTTCGGCTATAGTCGGCATTGACGCTATGATGAACAATAAATACCCAAATAATCACAATAAGATTAAGATAATACACATATAAACAGGCTCTAAAAAAAATGTAGACACAGTATTGACACACAATGAAATTTCTGACGAATAATTCAAGACAGAACCTGCATCGGTGAAATACTATCAGGAAACGAAATACTACTGAAATACTACTATCTCAAAGCTCACCGATCACAGAGGGAATTGTAAATCCCATCCAGAGAAATTGAACAATTTCCCTGACTACCTCGGCGTTGCTCTCAGTGAACGCGAGGACAAAATGAAACAAAACTGACCGCTAGTCAGGCTGACTACGTAGTCTGTAGCAGCAATTATGATACCATGTCAGGTGATCAAAAATCAATCTACGTCCCGTTCTTCCGAAATATCCCCTGGCCCTACGGCAGATACCCCTGAACGAAACGCGGACTTGCACTTCTCTAATGGAAGCCTAGTACATACACTAGAAATATTAGCAAAAGTAGCTACAGCTTCAAACTCCAATGTAAGGACGGCAGGCAGCTAGTCGAACTAAGGGTCGTCCTGGCAAGGTCGCCAGTTGTAATTTCAATTTATATCGTGTCAAAATTTCACGTAGTGTAGAAGCTAATAGTCTAAACTTGAACTCAAAATTATCCCTATAGATAATACTTTCACAAGGCAATTCACAATAATTTCAAAAGCATTATATACAGTAATCGAAAACAGTTTTATTTAGCAGCAAAAAACTTTTATCTGGGCTAAAAACGTTTTTTACGAGTAACTTACCATCAAAAACTCTCAGCAAAACGTAGAGCCACACACTTCAGCCCAGTGAAACTGTCGACCGGCGGTAGAGCGCACGGCTCAATATCTGTCATGCTTATAGCCTCGTGAAAACACATGAAAATGTGTGCAAAAGTAGGGCCGAGAGGAAGACCCATGCCCAAACCACCAATTTGTCTTTAAAATTTGCCGTTAAATAATTAAAAATGAGTTTAAAACAGCTAATTCAAGGAGAGATTTAAAACAGTTGCGGTTCAAACCCATGACACAGTCATTGACACTTTTAAGCAAAGAACTTAGGCAGATATCGATATATTTTCATGGAAGGAACAAATTTTTTACATCAAATTAAGCCATAGTCAAGTCCTGAACATTAGTGAAATTTTTTAAGCGATCCACGAACATGTAAGTATTGTCTACCGTATACTGATTGGTGGTGAGACAGTTCAAAACCGGAACTAAAAATTTAGCAAGTTTGAAGCTCTTAGTATTGTAAGCAGCAAAGATTGGGCGGAAACGAAATGTAGTATATGAGTAGCAATTTTCGTGCAAACATGCGTAAGCGTGCAAGGTAATTGATATGTCGAGATACATGATGGACATTTTGTAATAATAGTATAGTTAAAGATTCGATAATTTTCTAATACGCTGATTTCCACACGTAATGCTCAGTAGTTACGGATAAGTTGCAACTGCATCACACGTAATTGTCTTGAAAGTAGGGTCTGAAGTGCAGTATAATATTTTTGACCCGAAAAATTGCCGCAATGGCGACTGGGTATTTGAGTTAGTATAGCAAGCAATCTGAGGCAGTTCCCCTCGACTGAAGTCTGTCTCATCACGATAAAACAGAAGCCACGTGGTCTGTTGTGACTCTGTTATCGAGTTTCCATTACCAGACGTACATCAGAATACGCTCTTCAAGTTTATCACATTTTAAGTATCCTTAAAGATTGTATTTCAGTAGCGCACAATTCGCAAAGTACAGGCTTTCTCGCACGCAACGCCTCATCTTATGTCTTATGTTATGTCTTATGTTATGCCTCAAAATTAGACTCGCACCAAAGTATTGCAAATCACGGCCAAGAGTTCAGCGCAGCTGTTATGTCAATGAAAGGAATTTCCTAAAGAGATTAATTTTGTATTCATAAACATTAACCAAGAGTCTGGAGGTGGCGGGAAGGTTGAGGGCAACCCACGCAGTTATCAACCTGTAATGGCAGGCTTCTTGCATTCTAATTTAGAGCTTTTCAACTTTTTACGAAGATTTATTCCGTGTTATGCTACGATATATTCCTCACCTGCGAATGCCATGGATATTGTACGCGTATTTCCAGGTACATTGTATATCGTACTGATATGCACATGGATTTCATAGTCATATCAACATGACAATCATTCACATGGATATACCCCCTAGAGTGTGACTAGTGAACCTAGTGACACTAGTCGTACAGAGTGACTAGTGAACATTGTCACACTAGTCGCAGAGAGTGACCGGTGAACCTAGTCACACTAGTCCCAGAGTGCGACTAATGAACCTAGTCACACTAGTCCTAGAGTGTGACTAGTCAACCTAGCGACAATAATTTGTATTGGAATTTGTATCTTGCCTCAGCAACACTCAAAGAAGTTAATGGGACGCATTAATTGATATAATTAATATTAATTTATATAATTCATAATTATGATTCATTAGTTAATATAATTAATATTAATTTATATAATAAAATATTGCCCCACTTTCTTACCCTCAGCGCGAGCAGGCAGCGTGCGTAGCACTGATACGATGCCTGGCTGAACTGGTCAGGATGCTTTACAATTGGTAGACTAGTAGACAGAGGCTAGTAGACAGAGGCTAGTAGACAGAGGCTAGTAGACAGAGGCTAGTAGGCAGAGGCTAGTAGACAGAGGCTAGTAGACAGAGGCTAGTAGACCGAGGCTCGTAGACAGAGGCCGCGGAACAGCGAGTGCTTGAGGTCATCAAAGAGAACCCCAAGTATTTTTTTGAATACGCTCAGTCCAAGGCAAAAATAAAGACGAAGAAAAATAATAAAATAAAGAGAAATGAACTATAATATAAGAAATATTTATAATAATATATTCAGTATGTGTGCATGTATTTCTTCTCCACGTTCATCACTTTGAGTCCTTCGTATCGTAAGCCCCATGAAAGGCAATAATTTATGTAACGCTGGTTACAACTTCAACTCAGTTAAGTCTCCCCAGTGTACGAGTTATAAAAAATATTTGGGATGTGGTGAAATACTTCCTCTGGTAATGTATGTATATTTTCCAAGTTTCTATGTCATAGTTTAATGTATTGATTCTTCGTAAGACTAACTTATTAACATCTAATGAACGAGCTCGGTACATTAAACTATGACACATAAGCTATGAATATTCATTAAACTATGACATATAAGCTATGAATATTCATTTATCTATGACATATCGAACGCCTTCAATGCACTCCAGATATGTGAAGATTGGCATCAAATATATGCACAAACTAGTAAGAATACCGTAGTGCAGTTATAATTTTCATCAGCTATAACATATCTAACAAGTGATGCGCATAAGTTGAATTATATCAGCGAGTTCAAGGCAGGACTCCAGATAATCAAGGAAATGATATAACATATTGTAAGGTACAGACAATGTTATACAGTTGTGGTAATACATGCCGCCATCTTGCTTAACAGTTCCCGCCTCATTTGTAATAAGATGGCCTTAAAGTTCAGGCGAGTCCTTATCAGTCAACGTCTATTGCATCTATTGTTATTGCTTCGGATAATAATAGAATATTATTAATATATAATTTTGCATCAGATATTAATTAATAACCGCGGTATGTCTTTGAACATTACATGATTCGGGCAGGTTTGAGAAGGCAAGAGTTTACGTTCGTATATTTTTCTGTGAAAGCAGCAATTCTGTTGTAGAAAACGTGAATTCCAGCGATAACTGCAACATAAAAACATCTAATCATGTGCGACCTGCCTGCATAACGTGTTGAGTTATTCATAAAATATTATTTTAATATTATCACATTCAGCCCAAATTTGTTACTGTTTTACTTATTTTTGGAAAACGTTGGACTTTTCTTAAAACGCAGGCTAATGTAACCTACGAATTGAGAAGAAAATGTGTCCGTTATGTTAATTTTAGCCTTTGCGGTGATGAATTGTATCAGATATATGGCATAAATTAAGAGGAGCGTCTGGTCAGAAATCAAAAATTTGGGTTTTTCAGTGTTTTATGCTCATTTTGTAGCTGCTGAGAAGACTCGTCTATTGCAGCAAACAGCATGTCTGTGCGGGCTCTAGTTTTTGCGAATAATAATTCTATTGTAGGAACGGCTGAACTGAGACTCGCGAAATTATAGCAGACTTTTAATCACTGTAAAGTTAATAAATTTCTAGGTATGGGAGAACATTCAAGTAGAATTTAAGGTATTATGAATAGTAATTCTATTTCAGAAACGGCTGAACTGATACAGACTTTTTATCGCTATAAAATGAAACAGACATAATCATTTTTAGGGCATTTTCTCATTTGTTAAAAAAATGTCCTATTGTGCTCGTTATGTCCGTCCGTCTGTCCGTCCGTGACTTCACGTTTTCGTCGATTTTGAGAAAATGCGCCCTTTTTTCGCTCACTGCAGTGAGCACTGAGTTTATTTTTTATCCATTACATGTTCTGTTTAGCTTGAATTAATTTTGTTCCTGTATGAAAGACAAGTGACCTCATATAGCTGGCTTCAAATTTCAGAAATAATTTCATAAAAGTCTTCATGTATAAAGTCTACCAAAAAAGTCTTTTCTATAAAATCAATATAAAATATAGATAGCGTTATATTAGAGTGCGATAAAGCGATTCAAAGACATCTCTAACAAGCATAGGCATTTCATTCCTGATCCATCCATAGTTGTACAAGTTTGTTGCAAAAATAATTATTGTAACTTTAAACTACTATTTCACAGTCTATATTGTTCAATTGTTGTTTTCATTATTTCTCTCGCTCAGTATGCAGATCGAACGAGCGGCGGCCTGTTTCTCAGTTAAACCATATTAGACTCTACAAATTTTCAGGAGCTACAATGTTCCGATGTACAGACAGAATTTTCCATCAGAAATAAGCTCGCGGCAAAAGGAATATTCATTTTAAGCGTATTTTTCATTCAAGTGCACTCGCTTCAGGAAGTTTATCGTGGTATTTA